TAGGTCTTCTCTTTTTTTGGTTATTCTAGCTAGTGGCTTACCAATTTTGTTTTATCTTTTCAAAAATCAACTTTTTGTCTTATTGATCCTTTGTATCTTTTTAAAAAAATCTATTTCATATAGTTCTGCTCTGACAGTTATTATTTCTTTTCTTCTGCTAATTTTGCCTTTGGTTTCTTCTTGCTTTTCTAGTTCCTTGAGGTACATTGTTAGATTGTTTATTTGAAATCTGTCAGCTTTTTTGGAGTAGGCATTTATTGCTACTTCCCCTTAGATACTGCTTTTGCTGTATTTCCCCAGGTTTTGGTATGCTGCATTTCCATTTTCATTTGTTTCAAGAAATTTTTTTTATTTCCATCTTAATTCCTTCTTTGACTGAATGGTGATTCAGGAGCGTGTTGTTTAATTTCCATGTATTTGTATGGTTTTGAAAGTTCCTGTTAGTATTTATTTATTTTACTGGAGTCTGAAAATATACTCAAGAGGATTTCAGTGCTTAAAAATATGTTGAGATTTGTTTTGTAGCCTAACATATATCTGTCATGGACAATGTTACATGTGCTGATGAAAAAAAAAAAATGTGTATTCTGCAATCGCTGGATAAATGTTTTATAAATGTCTGCTAGGTCCATTGGTCTGAAGTCCAGTTTAAATCCAATGTTTGTTGATTTTTCTCTCTAGATCCATCTAATGCTGAGAATGGGATTTTGTCTAATGCTGAGAATGGGATTTTGGATTCCCCCACTATTATTGTGTTGGAGTTTATCTCTCTCTTTAGATCAAATAATAATTTGCTTTTGAATGTGTTTTGTATATCATTTGTTTTGTTTTATTTTGTTTTGAGACAGAATCTCACCTTGTTGCCCAGGCTGGAGTGCGGTGGTGCAGTCTCATCTCGCTGCAACCTCTGTCTCCCGGATTCAAGCGATTCTCCTGCCTCAGCTACCCAAGTAGGTGGGACTACAGGCACGTGCCTCCACGCCTGGCTAATTTTTTGTATTTTTAGTAAGAAGGGGTTTCACCATGTTGGCCAGGCTGGTCTCGAACTCTTGACCTCAGGTGATCCTCCGCCTCGGCCTCCCAAAGTGTTGAGCCACCGCACCTGGCCCTTTTTCAGTTTTTTTAAATTTTATATGGGAGAAATTTTTCCTGTAAATATATCTGTGATGTTTGGCTTTGATCCTGGTGTGTGCAGTAGTGTAGTCTCTATATGATTTCTTCAGGTGTAAACAGCATCAATGATGACTGTGACTTCCTTAGTGTCTTAGGGTACAATTATTGGTGGAGGCGGTGATGAAGTTTTGCTGGTTACTAGGACACCCCAGGTAGGTTAGTCTTTGGGCCCCAGTGGTGGGAGCAGTGGGCTAAGCGTGTCTGTCCTTGGGCCCCAGGATGGCATATGCTGGCACCAGGGTTACTGCATCAAGGCAAGCTGATTCTTGGGCCTCTTTGTGGCCTAGTTGGATCCCAGTAGTGGCAACAGTGGGTGAGTTCTTGGGCCCCTGGGCAGGTGGTGTGGCATGGGTGATGACAGTAGCAGTGGCAGAATGACCTCTGGGTCCCAGGTGGTACACGCTTATGTTGGTGGAGGCTGTTATGGGCTGTGCAGGCCAGTCTCTAACCCTTGAGATGGCATGTGCAAGGAGGTACTAGCTGTGACGGTAGCAGCCAGGTTGGTATGTCCAACCTCAGGCCCCTGGGAGGAGTGTTCAGGTGCCAGTGTGTTGGACTGGGTTGGGCAACCTCCTGGCCCTCAAACTGTGCTGTGACATAGGCAGAGACGGGTGAGGCCAGCCATGGTAGGCATGGTAGGCAGGAGCAATTCCCAGGCTACCAGTGGAATGCTCAGGTGGAGGGAGACAGCAGTTGTGGTGATACTCTGCCCCTGGGCAGAGTGGTGATGCCTTTAGTGGTAGGCAGCCTAGGCCAGTGGATGGGGAGTGAATGTACCACCTGTTCTTCAGCCCTGGTGACTTGCTCTTGCCTCAGCCCATGCTTTATATTCCTCTGGATATATATCCAGTAATGGGATTGCTGGGTCAAATGGTAATTCTGTTTTTAGCTCTGCCTGCAGTAGCTGGCAGTTCCTTGAACCTAAACTCCTGGGGCAGCAGCCATGCTTCTTTTGCACTTCAGTCTGGGTGCTGCTGGGTTCTAGTACGGTGTGCAGTTTGTTGGGGCTAGGGCTCTGAAATGACCGTTTACTATAGCTGCTTAGGTCTCAGGGAGCTTGTGAGACCCAGTGCAAGCTTCCTCCCTGGAGCAGTGCCATCACACAATCTCCCAGCAGCTCTCTCTTTTGGTGTCAGGGCCTGCAAGGGTCAAAGGGTTCTTCTGTGGCTAAGATTGCAGGAGTCCATGGTGGGAATGTGGACTGCTAAACTTCTCCAACCTGAGTCTCTTTCAGCTCCCAGCTGATCCCAGCCCTGTAGGCTGCCTCACTTCCTTTTCATTTCTTGCTTTACGTAACTCCTGTCACTTTACTGTTGAATTTCAGTGTTCTCTCTTGGATGATGTATTCAGAATATGATTATCAATTCATTATCTTGGTTCTTAGTGGAGGCAAGTACGAAATACCTGTAGTCAACTGTCTTCTTTCTATACTTTACGTACTTTTTGCTTATTTACTCTGGCATATGCCATGAAGATTCCAATATCAGTATTTTTTGGCTGATTATTTTAATGATTATATAGTATTGTATTGAATAGCTTTATATATTGATTTTCCTTTGCCGGTCTTTTACAATTGGGCATTTAGATTGTTTCCAATATTTTGCTAATTTAAGTAGTGCTGTGATGAGTATCCTGGTACCTACATCTTTATATACATGCAAATATTTTCTCAGGTAAATTCCTAAATATCTGAGTGAATTCTGCTCCCACCACTGGGGCCCAAAGACTAACCTACCTGGGGTCCTAGTAACCAGCAAAACTTCATCTCAGCCTCCACCAATAATTGTACCCTCAGACACTAAGGAAGTCACAGTCATCCTTGGTGCTGTTTACACCTGAAGAAATCATATAGAGACTACACTACTGCACACACCCAGGATCAAAGCCAAAGTGTCCTACCCCACCAACAAAATAGCTGCAGATTTTTAAGTCCTTTTTTTTCAGACAGGGTCTTGCTCTTTTGCCCAGGCTGGAATGGGGTGGCATGATCAGCTTACTGCAACCTCTAACTCCTGGGCTCAAGCAGTCCTCTCACCTCAGCATCCGAAAGTGCTGGGATTACAGGAGTGAGCCACCCCACCTTAAAATTATTCCTGGCCTATTTTAAGACTTTTAAGGCATATTGAGAAGGTGCCTTGCAGAAAGGTTGTTTAAATATAATTTCCGCCGGTGGCATCTGACAACAAATACTATCAGTTGTTTTCCTGGAAGCAGTAGAATCACTTTGTTTATTTTCAAGACAATACCTGTTAAATATCTGAGTCTGAATAATCAGTTTGTTTACTAGTAGTTCTTATAAATGGCCCTTCTTTTTTTTTTTTTTAACTTTTCTTTTCCGTTCAGGGGTACGTGTGCAGGTTTGTTATATACGTAAACTCGTGTCATGGGGATTTATTGTACAGATTATTTCATCTTCCAGGTACTAAGCCTGGTACCTGATAGTTATTTTTTCTGCTTCTCTCCCTCCTCCCAATCTCCATCCTTAAGTAGTGTCTGTTGTTCATTTCTTTGTGTTCAGGAGTTCTCATCATTCAGCTCCCACTTATAAGTGAGAACATGTACTATTTGGTTTTCTATTTCCCTGTTTGTTTACTAAGGGTAATGGCCTCCAGCTCCATCCACGTTCCTGCCAAAGACATAATCTTGTTCTTTTTTATAGCTGCATAGTATTACTTGGTGTATATGTACCACATTTTCTTTATTCAGTCCGTCATTTATGGGCATTTAGGTTGATTCCATGTCTTTGCTATTGTGAATAGTGCTGTAGTGAACAGTCGTGTGCTTGTGTCTTTATGGTAGAATGCTTCATATTCCTCTGGATATATACCCAGTAATGGGATTGCTGGGTCAAATGGTAATTCTGTTTTTAGCTCTTTGAGGAATCACCGTATCGCTTTCCACGATGGTTGAAATAATTTACAGTCTCACCAACAGTGTATAAACATCCCCTTTTCTCTGCAACCTTGCAGCATCTGTTATTTTTTGACTTTTTATTAATAGCAATTCTAACTGGCATGGAATGGTATCTCATTGTGGTTTTGATTTGCATTTCTCTAATGATCGGTAATATTGAGCTTTTTTCACTGCTGGTTGACTGCATGTATGTCTTCTTCTTTTTTAAATTTATTTTAAGTTCTGAGGTATATGTGCAGGATGTGCAGGTTTATTATATAGGTAAACATGTGCCAAATGGCCTTTCATGAAAAAAGTCCAGTTCCGTTTGCAAATCAAACAGTCATCTAAGTGTTTCTTCACAGGGAAACCATCATACTTTATAACACTAATCTTTTTGAGAGTTTCCCACTTTGTCACACAAAATGTAATAAAAATATGTACCCAAGGGTCAAAATTTAATTAATTATTTTTCTACTTCATGAAGGATATTCTTAAGTAGTCTTAAATATCTTCCTCATGCTCCCTCCACTGTTCATGGTGGTGAAGAAGATAATAATTACTAGTACAGTTTGGACCCACTACCTTGATTAATACAAGATACTAGCAGTTTTACCCACCGTTGCTTTTATTGCTCTGATGCTGAAAAAAAGTGAGTAACTTTTTATTATTATTATCATGAAACAAATAGAGACCTCATGGAGACCTGAAAGGGTGTCAGGAACTTCCAAAGGTCCCAACACTTTGAGAATACTGTTCTAAACAATCCCTATCTGTGCAGCCTATCACTCCCTGGTTGACTAATTGAATATGCTTCTTAGTTTTCAGGTGTGTGTTGAGAGTGATTTCAGAAAGTTTAGTTTTGCCCATACTAAAATGAGAGCATCCTGTGGAGTTAGTAATGTTTCTTTTCCATCATTTATTTTCCATACCAGGTTCATCGTTGGGTCAATTATGAATCCATGCTGAAAGAATGCCTCGTTGGCAGAATGGCGATTAAACCTGCTGTTCTGAAAGGTAAGTGATGCTGGTGCTAAACCAGCATAGAAGTGTGGTACACATGTGTTTTTCTTTAATTTGGATTTAAGCAACTACGTTCGTGCAAATCACTATGGTTTTGTCATTTTCATTGTCCTCCTCGTCTAGCCACTCCAAAGGTTTTCCTTCATTTCCTCTCTAGAATCATATAGTGAGTGTTCGACTGTTTGTTAGAGAAAGTTCAGTGTGAGGACTACAACACTTAGGGCTGATTTTTAGATCAGTTTTTTAGAATTTAATTTTTTGAATAATATAGTAACATGATTCAAAAATTAAAAAATATAAAAAGTTAGTGAAATTTTCCCTCCCAGCCTTTTCTCCCATTTGCCATGAATCTTCCGACTCTGCCCCCTCACTATAGATAACCCCTATTCTTACTTTAAACTTCTTCTAAAGTATAACCAATTTCTTCCCCCTAGCTCTGAGATGGGACTCTATAATCTGGGTGATGTTTGAGGTCATCTCTTTACTTAATAAGCCTCTCTAGAAGATCACCTTTTGAAAATCTTAGATATGGAATTGTAGTAGCAGGAATACTTTAATAACCCTTTTCTTTGAAGGAATGATAGTTGTTTCTTTTGAGTAACTCCTTACCTTTTTACTAAAATTAGGAAGAAATTTCAGCCAGAGTCTTTCACTACTTCATTGGCAAGTTTTGTATTTCAAGGCTTTATTGACACAGACTTTGATTGGCAGTATGGAAATATTACAGTCATTAAGAAATATTTATAGTAATTTAGGTGAAGTATTATTTTAATAGTATCTTATATACCCTTCATCTGTAGGCAAGGATTGGTCATCAGTCTCTGCTGTCTTAAGACTTAACGATAGAGAACATTAGATGGGGTAACTGTGTAATTGTCCAAACTAAGACAATTTTAGTAATTATGCTGGAACAATAGTGGGTAAACTTACAACTCTCTGGCAAATCAGGGCATGTGTTCACCCTACAATTAGAACTCCTAGATTAAATGGGAACAGAATATGGATGAAAACAAAGGATGAAGTGGGAATCAAGGCTGAAAAGAGACTGTTCCTAACATGGGGGTTGTTGGGGGAAATGGTGGATATGTTGAAGAGGAATTTTACACATGGACTCTTAAACCCAAAGCTTGAAACAGTCTTTTAAATGAGGTGACCTGCCATCCCCCTCAAAGTCAGGGAATCCTGACTTTTTTTGGGTGTCGCACAGTTGGACAGCTCTGGGAAGTTAGTTTTCAGTTCATCTGATGGTTTCTAGTCTGGCAGTGGTAAAACACCTGGGTATCTAGGAAGAAATCAGAAAAGCTAACAGACTCAGAGTATAAAACATAATACAGCTGTGTTATTATCAAGCAAATAATGAGTTGTGTTTATCATAATCCTTTGTTTAAAAAGTATTATGATAGGCTGGGCAAGGTGGCTCACGCCTGTAATTCCAGCACTTCGGGAAGCTGAGGCCGGTGGATCACCTGAGGTCAGGAGTTCGAGACTAGCCTGGCCAACATGGGGAAACCCCGTCTGTACTAAAAATACAAAAAAATTAGCTGGGCGTGGTGGCAGGAGCCTATAATCCCAGCTACTCAGGAGGCTGAGGCACGAGAATCGCTGTACCCGGGTGGTGAAGGTTGCAGTGAGCCGAGATGGCGCCACTGCACTCCAGCTTGGGTGACAGAGCAAGACTCTGTCTCAATTTAAAAAATAAAATAAAAAGGATTATGGTTTGTATTATTATTTAAAAAGATGTATTAATAATGAACGAAAGGAGAAATTTTGCTTGAAAAGGTCAACTTCAATTATTGATAATTTATATATGTGGAACACTTCATTCTCTGGTAAAGATGAAAAATGAGTGCTCACTCTTTGCCCTTATTCTTTGGCTGCTATTGTAGCTATTTGTCACATGTGGCTATTGAGCATTAGAAATATGCCTAGTGCAAATTCAGATATGCTATAGATAAAGGATACACTGTATTTCCAGACAATATGAAAAAAAGAATGTAAAATATCTCATAATTTTTACTTGCTTACATGTTAAAATGATAATCTGGATATATTGAGTTAAATAAAAATATTTAACCTTTTTTTTTTTTTTTTTACTTTGTTAATCTGGTTATTAGAAAATTTAAAATTGTACTTGTGGCTTGCATTATAATTTTTTTGGACAGTACTGTTCTAGACCATAAGTGTACTTTAAAAAATCAATATGCCATATTTTTTAAGTGGTCATATTTTTCAGTGGTATAGTGCAGTCTCAGGAATGTTTCTTCATAATTTCTCATTGCTTTGTTGTAGTTTCTAATATTTTGTGTTTTTAGGTTTCATGCCCTCTGTCTGGCGGTTAATAACTATAACACACTTAGAACCATACATTAATAGGATATTTATGTAAGAGGGATTTAGAGCAGTTTAAAAGTGAAGATACTGAGGCTTGTAGGTATTGTATCTTACTAAGGACTACAGAGTTATTTAATTGAAAAAGCCCACTTAAACCGTGGATAAACAAACTTTTTGTAAGGCAGAGAGTTGCCTCATTAAATGTTACCTGCTTTTTTGTAATGAGTTTTCTTTTAGTATATGCCAGTTGTTTTTCACTGGGGTTGATTTTGCTCTTCGAGGGGACATTTGGCAATGTCTGGAGACATTTTGGTTTTTAGAACGAAAGTAAATGCTACTGGCATTCTAATTGATAGCAGTCAGAGATGTTGCTAAACATCCTATGTTGCACAGGACAGATTACCACAACAAAGGATTTTCTGGCCTAAAATGTTAATAGTGTTGAAGTAGAGAAACCATCTTATATGCATTAGTTTTTTATTATTAAAAATGATGGTATTAGTGGCACATACGTGTTAAGCTGGTATGCACATATCGGACAGCTCTTTGGTTCTTCCTAGGCAAACTTTGGCACCTGTAGGGCTGAGGATGGAGATAGACACCAGGACCCATAGTGGGCTGAGACACTGCTTTCAGAGATTTCTTTTACTGTCACAACATTGTGAGCAAGGACAAGACAAATATTGAATGGGCTGCCTGCCAGTTGGAAGTTCAGCTTTTTTAAAGTCAAAGTTCTTTCTTCTAGGAGCCTCAGTTTCCTCATTGGTAAAATGGGGACAATTTAGGTAGACAAAGCACAAGCTCAGAGACTGATAGGGGAGAAGTAAGACAGTTACTGGTGGAGAGAGGGAGGCTGGGAGTCATTCTAAAGTGGGCTTTACTGGACAGACATGTTTGCTATCTCAGCCTGGCTGCCTTAATTTGCTCCTTCTGCTATGGGGTCCGTTGTCTGGGTAATTCTTACCAGAAAGATTTAAGGGAAAGGTAATTAAGAATGGGAGGTAGAGGTAAGAAGTCCCTGGTTAGGGTGCAGATATAGACCTAAATAGAAAGTGTGTTTTGCTGTAGTGGTGTGACTGACTGATGTTGTTTGTGTTAGCAGTTCTTTTGTTTTCATAGAGGAATTTTGATCATGTGTATATTCATGTGCAGGTGATTCCAAATAAGAAAGGAATCATAATACCTCCGATGATAGGACAGGAATGGAAAATAACTGACAAATTGGAGAATTGATAAAAAAATGACACGTGAAGCCAACTTGGGGAGAAATATGAACTCCTAAAAATACAGCATTTGCTGTGATTAAATAATAATGGAGGAAAAACTGATCCTAGGAAAAATTAATACTCTGGTATTTTTAAAGCTTTTGAATCCTTGGATTTTTCAGAATGTGTGGGTTTGATTAAATCTTCATTTTAATTCTGCTAGTGAGCTAGAAGTTAGAGAGATGCACAAAATTGAAAGATGATTCAGAAGGTGATTACAAAGATGAATAGAAGAAAGTAAGGTAAAGATAGTTTAAAGCTGCAGAAATTATTAAGTTTTATAAGATTTGAGAAATAAGTATGATTTCTGAATCAAAAACAAGAATTAGGCTTGGCCAGGTGCGGTGGCTCATGCCTGTAATCTCAGCACTTTGGGAAGCCAAGGCAAGAGGATTGCTTGAGCCCAAGAGTTTGAGACGAGCTTGGACAATATAGTGAGACTCTGTCTCTACAAAAATTAAAAAATAATAATATTTAATTTTAAAAAAAGAATCAGGCCTAAGTTGTGTTACGAAGAGTTCTGTTTAGAGATACGGAGGAATTTCTAGAGGAAAAATGGTTATCAAAATGGTTATTAAACACATTATACAGAACCAAGAAGTCTTCTGGCAAGGCTAAGCAAGTAAGGGAATGTAGAACAGTAAATTTAGGACTTTGTGAATAAGATCCCTGGCAACAAGACTGAGCTTGTATCTGATGGTGACATAATACCAACCTTTTGGAATAAGGAAAGGAGATGAGGATTATAGCTACAAGACAATTGTAAAACATTCAATTAGTGCTCAGCATTTTTTTTTCCCTAGAATGCTTTTCTTCAGGGACTCCTGACAAATGCCTACACATTTTCAAAACTTAGCTAAAATACTACTTCTTCTATGGAGTCCTTTCAAATTTCTTCCAGGAGAAACATTCTTCTTCTGTGCTTCTTCAGTAACACCTTCTGTATACCTCTTTTACAGCACTTGCCACATGCAATCTTAAAAAGAGCACATCATCCGGGCACGGTGGCTCATGCCTGTAATCCTAGCACTTTGGGATGCCAAGGCAGGTGAATCGCTTTAGTTCAGGAGTTCAAGACCAGCCTGGACTACATAGCGAAACCCTGTCTCTACAGAAATAGAAATAAAATAAAATAAAAGCCAGGCCTAGTGGTGCATGTCTGTGGTCCCAGCTGCTTGGAAGGCTGAGGCAGGAGGATTGCTTGAGCCCAGGAGACAGAGGTTGTAGTGAGCCGAGGTAGCACTGCTGCATTCCAGCCTGGGTGACAGAGAGAGGCCCTGTCTCAAAAAAAAAAAAAAAAAAAAAGCCATCGACTTTATTTTTAATTCCATTTATTGTATTTTTTGAATAAGTATTGCACTCAGATGATTCAAGAAGAAGCACCCTTATCATAGTTCTACCTCCCATCTACTGTTTTTCTCTCCCATGCACACACCAAGGACATGTTTTTGTTGTTGTTTTGTCTTTCCAAATTATCTTTATGTATTATAAGCAGACTGAATATATTTTCTTATTTTTCTAACTTTTTATCCAAATGGTATGTCAATATCCCTATTAAGGTGATCAATAGATGTTTATTAAAGAATGAGCATACTGGCAAAAGAAAGATCTTCCTGCTAGATCTTTCTTCATTCCAGGGTATCCTCCTGTGCCTCTGCTCAGCAGAGGTAAACTAGACTTGGGTCATAATTAAAGATCCTTACCAAGGAAGAGCTGAGTGCTATTAGATCACAACACCAGCCTTCTAAATGACTCTGACCTCTCCGGAAATAAAAATGCTTATCAGAGTAAAGCAGTTTAACCAGCATTATGAGAAGATACCAATTTGATTGGCCATGGAGCCAACTAAATGATGGAATTAGTTACCAAGAGAAAACATCAGATTTCTTTTCAGAGAGGAAAGTATCTCCTGTGACTAAAATGATTCAGATGTAAATATGCTTAAGATTGTAAAATAGTCTCCTCCATTTCTATAACTCAGTTTTTGAAAAGAGTTGTAAAAACAGACTAAGAGAATTTTTAAACGTAACCCAGATTCTTTAAGTGGAAGTTATCTTTCTGCTAGTACTTCTTGTATTAAAAAAAGACTCGGGGGGAAAAAAAACCTACTAATTTAGCAGAATCTGGAAAGTTCTGACAAATCCAAATCTATTCATATCAGGCAAGAAGTAATCATATGAGGTAATATTTTCTTCTTAGAAACAAATTACCTGGGACAATTTTTCAAAATCTGTGAACCTCTTAGATAAAAACTACTTGTTTTACATGACAAATGAGGTTTATTAAACTGTTGACCTTATTGTACACTGAAAATAGATATATGTTCTGTGAATTTCTAAGATAAAACAAATAATCACAACTGCAACAACAAAGACAGATAAAACTGACTGGATGAAAGTACATGACCAAGCAGTGACATCAGTGATCCTTTGCAAACTGTAATGGCCAGATTTGTATCTAGCAGTTGATAAACAAAACTCATTTTGAAGTATAGTTTAAATGGGTTTTAGGCCTGCTATCTTTTTAGGAAATACTAACTCCTGGATTACAAAGAAAAATAGGACTGTGTTTCAGGGGAGACAAATCTAATTTTGGCTTTTTTGCTGGAGTGGTGGATTTCATTCAAGTCCTTTGACCCCTGATTTTCAGCCTTTATTAGTAGGTCAGGTGATAATTTGCTGTATGTTGTTAAAATTCCTTTCAGCTGTAAAATTATTTTGGTAAAATGAGGAAAAGGAAAAGGATGGTCATTTGGCTTCCTTAATGATTATTATTTTGGGATGGATGAGTGAAGTGGAGTTAATTATGGAATTTCTGGTGATTAAATATTGGAACACAAAAAATTTGAAAGCTTTGATATTAAATATGTTAGTTTCTTTTTGTATAAAACAAGGTGATGTCAGCTTAAGAAATGATGTCTTTCAATTTGACTATTTGAATATTTTTTGTTAGCTTAACCCATTTTTTAAAAAATTTTGACAGTTTGCTGAGGTGTTTATTTTGACCATAACGGTATAGCACTTGCAGTTATTAGAATATAACATAGGTTTGTGAGTTGGCTGCCATCCTGAAAGAAAATACCTGTTAATTTTTTTTCTGGGCCTGTAACACTAATAATTGCATTGGATATACATGCAAAAATCTGAACATATTTTAAACTTGAAATAACCATCATTTTACGCATTGAACTCAGTAAAAGGGAAAGATAAGAAGACATCTTTCTTTGAGTTGTTAATGTGCGTGTTTAATTTATGATGTATAATCTAATAAATTCTGGTTAACTTGTACTAATTTAAAATACGATAACCTGGATGAAACCTGGCATTTACATATGCTCTGTATAGAAATTAACCAAGATATTTTAAAAAGTGACCAAAGAATTAGAAAAAATCCAAATGAAATGGAGCCAAACATCTGGAGAAATATGGTCTGGCAGTCTTCAGATATGAAACTTACTTGTTTAAAACAAAGGCCATTTCTATATTAACCTGTTTCTCTCCTCAGACCTTAGAAGACAGCCCTTCAAAAAAGAAGGACTGTTATCTTGAAATCAGTAATGTGGACTGACATTCTCTTTGACATTAAAGTATTCTTATTTGACTTTTTTTTTCTAAATTGCTGTACAGACTATCGTGAGGAGGAAAAGAAAGTCTTAAATGGTAAGTCTATAAATTTATAATAAATGAGTTGTATTCTCATGCTTATGAACAGTATTGGTTCACAGAATTGTCTGGGGCATTTAGACTTTTTTTTTTTTTTTTTTTTTTGAGATTGAGTCTTGCTTTGTCACCCGGGCTGGAGTGCAGTGGCGTCATCTCGGCTCACTGTAACCTCAGCCTCCCGGGATCAAGCAATTCTCCTGCCTCAGTGTCCTGAGTAGCTGGGATTACAGGTGCACACCACACACCCAGCTAATTTTTGTATTTTTAGTAGAGATGGGTTTTCACCATGTTGGTCAGGCTGGTCTCGAACTCCTGACCTCGTGATCCACCTGCCTCGGCCTCCCAGAGTGCTGGGATTACAGGCGTGAACCACCGTGCCCAGCCTAAATTTTTTTTTTTTTTGTATGAAAGATAGCATTACTGGCCCAAACTTAAGAGCCTTTTGTAGAGTTTTATAGGCTCTTTTTTCTAGCCATTACTCTTATAGTCCTGCCTTCCGTGACATCCCTGAATACATGTTATCCTCCCTCAGCTTGAATACTTGTAGCAATTAGGAATTTCATCCTCAGAAACAAGACAAAACAAGTCAGTTTTCTTAGGTGTGAGCTCACCTCCAATGTTTGCATACACATGCCAAATAGTTTATTACTCTACAATTTTCTGAACTAAGTGGTGCATCCAGCCATTCTGGATGACTTGCAAATAATGACTGACACTTCCTGTCCCCCACAAAAAAGTTTGGCATGATGGTCACTACTGACATAAAATGCACGATGCTAACTCTAACTGAACTATATTGATGTACATTTAGAAACATTTTTTTCCTTCGTTTGCAAAAGAAAGTTACAGAAATTCAACTAACAAGCTAGATTGCCAGATGAGTTAACTTTTTCTTTGTTAACTGGAGGAAATAGTCTATATTGTGGACTAACTTCTGCAATATATAGTACCTGAAGCTGTTCATCGGATAATATAACACTCCATTAAATGAGGGACTGATCTTTGGTTTCATCTGTTGATTGACTCTTCTGTGACACTACAAAAGCAACCATTGCTTAATGATTGATTACTGATAGACTAGGCATTTCCTTTCCACCACATATGGCTTCCAGAACCTTTACTTTTCTGTTGCCTTCTTTGGATGCACTGCATTTGACTAATTTATCAGTAAAAGGTGGCATTAAGTATGGAATATAGCACTCCACAAGTGATGTGGTTAGCTCTGTTACCTCTTGTGACCTGGACCCTATAAGACTGGAACATATCTATCTATCTGTATATTTATTAGCTGCTTTTCCCTTTTGGCTCATTTAAGTCTATGTGATAAGTCTCTGTATTTGCAAATGTGATCTGCCTGCATTCTATGTTACTATTCCAATAGCTGCTTAAAATACTGAATGGGTTGGACTACTTTCCTGTTCCACTACAGACCCGATCCCTTCAGATTGACAGCATTCAATCAACCAGCACTTATGGAAGGGAGAACGTGCATTCAGTCCACCTTGCATTACTTAATTATTTTATTTCACTACACATTCACCCCACTATTCTTTCAACTTACTCAAAATAATATTATATAAAGTTTGAGGGTTTTTTTTAGTTAGTTTTAAATTAAGACACTTTCCATGGCTTATTATTCTGTTTTAATAAGATTTATCTTAATGATACTAAATAGTTTTTTAGGATGTTTGATTATTGTCTCATTTGCTCACCCATGAGATTGCAGGGAGCATTTCATTGCTATTAATAGTTCCAATTTGAGGAAGAGGAAACAGTGTCTTGCATAAAATCACAGTACTGGCACTGAGCTTAATTATAGATTTTCTGGTCCTAATTAGATCATACAAGATCAGTATTGACTTACAATTTATTAATTCTGTTTATAACATTTTCTTACAGAAATTGTTAGATTTTGATGCTTTTGATTTTTATTTATATACCTAAGAGACTTACAAAAGAGAAACAACATTAATCTCTTAAATCTTTCAGTGCTGCTTAATTTAATAAGATTATTTTGTCTTGCTTTTACCATATTAGAAAAAAAATACATTTAATTCTTGTAGTCCTCTTTTGTTTTACCTGCGGTTTTGTAGTAGAGCACTCTTCTTTTAGTGCCCACTGCTAATTATTAGTTGACAACTCTGACCTTGTTGTCACATACCTGAGGCTTCCTTTGTTTATCTGAAAATAGTATTCTGCAGGGTTATGTGGGAAGAAGTGGAAGCTGAATGAGTAAGGCCTGGACTCAGGGCTCACCATCAGCCTGTTCAGAAAAATATGACTGTTTTACATCTTGCTTGCACTTGAGCTTGTCTTGAAGGTTTGTGTCTAAAAAGAATCTTGAAACTCTCTAAACTGTCTTGTCCCAAAGATATCTTGCAACTTTTAAATTTATATAAAATACTGTGATTTCTAATTTGTGCACCCAAGATTCAGCAGATACTAACCATTAATTTTGTTCCTGTATAGTTTGAGAAATAGTAATATAATTGATGCAATGATTTTCAAAAGTCAGGTAGCAGCAGTACTACTTTTTTCCAAACTAAATCTTACCATATACAAACAATGCACTCCTGATGTAGGAGGGAAATACTTAATGTTTGCAATATCTTGAGTTCTTCCATATCTCAGTTTTCTGAAATGATTTAAAAACCATAGCTTTAGTGGGCTTTTAAACTGCATCATACACCCAAGATGCATTTTGTAGTTGTGCATACCCACAAGGATACAAACCCACAAGAGTGAATAAAATGGAAAAGATAGAAACCACATGTTGGTGAGATTGTGGAGCAGCTGGTACAACCACTTTGAAAAGCTGCTCAGTAGTATCTTCTAAAGCTAAACATACAAACACCCTTCATACTAACCAGAAGTGTAGATATGTGTTCTTTAAGAATATGCATGTACCTGTAAAAGAATATTTATATCAACACTGTGTATAACAGCTCCAAACTGGAAACAACCTGAATGTTCATCAACAGAAGAATGAATAAATTGTGAACTATTCATATAATGTATTACTACTCAGTTACAATAAGGACCAAGCTACTGATGAATTCAGTAGCATGGATAAAATTTCAGAAAGCCTAGATTTGATTTATTGCTTATTATCAATCATGCTTATTTCACATAAGAACTGTAATGTCTGGAATATTGGACAAAAAGCCAGAACTAAAAGAGAATGTATCATTCTACTTATATGAAGATCAAACACAGGCAAATACTAACCATGGTATTAGTAGTCAGAATACATGTTACTCTTGAGGCAGGGGTGGTGACTGAAAAGGGAGCATGAAGAGAGTGCTGACTGCAGGGGTATGTTTTGCTTTATCTTGGCCTTCTGGCTAAGATCAAGTGAAAATATATTGAGTAGTACATTTGTGATTTGTATCCTTCTATGAATATATGTGATATTTCAATAAGATGTTAACTAAAAAGACAAAATATTGAAAATACTTTGTAGATGAACTATAGCTATCTTTCTTTGTAAAGGCATGCTTCCCAAGAGCCAAGTGACAGATACACTTGCCAAAGAAGGTCCTAGTTATCCAAGGTATGCATTCTTCTTTAAAATTTTCAAAGTTAAATCAATTATATACAAAAATGTACACATTTAAAAAATAAAGTAGCTCTGGGTTTGATTTATTGCTTACTGTTGTGCATTTTGACACGAGAACTGTAATGTTGTTGGAGAATGAGCTGTTTATTAGATGTTGTTGGAGATGTTGTTAGAGAATGAGCTGTTCCATAAATGTGAATTTTAAATATAACTGAAGTTTGATCCATTTTAAACACCAGTACTTTAAAAAACTATTTTAAAATATTTTTCTGATCATAAAAAAAATACATTAATGGTAGAAAACTTAGAAAATATAGAGAAATACAAATACAAAAGAAAGTGATAAAATCAGTTGTAATCTCACCATCCTTAGTTATATACTATTATTTATATTTTCCAGTTAGATTAATATAATACCTACTTCCATATTATTCTATTTTTATAATATTGGTATGACAGTATATTCTATGAGCATTTTTTATGCCATTAAATTTTCTGTGAAAGCATTTTTTCTCTTCATTCCATCATATGACCATGCCATAATGTATTTAAATATTCTTTTTTTTGTATATCTAGTTCATTTTTATCAATTTTTAATGGGAATTTTTCAGAATGTATTGCCCAACACTTGTCTTAAACAGTTAATAGTAACTTAGGCAATACACATGTATCTTGTTAGTGACACTTAAAATGCCTTCAGGTGTGTTCTCTGTAGTTCTTTCTCATATCCCTTTTCTCCACACCACCAGTCTGTATTATTCTAACGTCAGCATCCTGCTATATTTGTTAAATTATTTGATATAAAATTTTAAATTAGGGACTAAGATTTGCCTGTAGATTCGCCTATATAGGTGATAAGTGCAAAAAGAGTATCAATTTGATCAAGAGCTGTAACAAAACAGAAGACTTAGTTTTACTTTAAGTTTTACTATGGACCCATTAAACAACCTTGATGAGTTCATTTCTTCAGTACTAATATATCTGTGACAGGGAGAAATGAAGATAATAAACAGGTACATTTTTTCATACTCTTTAACAAAATATGTTGTTTTGATTTTGCTCTGATAAAAGAAGATTTTAGTAAAGAGATGTGTAACCTTTATAAAAAGTGTCTTGTTGAGGATATTTTGTTTTTATTCAAGTGGGAATACATGGAAGTATAGATATTTTAAATTTAGAAATAGTTGTCAGCTGTATAATGAAGAATGTAACATGGTAAGACCACTGTTTATTTAGAAAAAAAGCTTAACCTAGAGAAATACAGATACGTCTCACTATAAATTTTAAACATTTAATGATTAATATGTGTTAGTGCACATGATTGTCAATATAATTATTCATCCTTTTCTTTATATTTTACAGCTATGATTGGTTCCAAACAAACTCTTTAGTCACCATTGCCATATATACTAAACAGAAGGTAAATATGTCTTTTAAATCAGAAAAGAAGTAAATAATAAATGTTAATTTTATGTACCAGGTCTTTTTCTAAACACTTTTTTATATTATTTACTTCTCATTACAGTTCTTTGAGGTAGATAGTATTGTTATCCCTTTTGTACAGAAGAGGAAACAAAGAAAAGATTAAGTAATTCACCCATAGTTAGACACTGAGTGGCAAATCTGGCATTTGGAACTCAGGCAGTCTGGTTCCAGAGCATCTGCTCTTAACAGCCATTCCTATAGCCTCTTAAAAATCAGAGTAGGAAGTATTTTATGTGTTTTTCTGTGTGTGTGTGTGTGTGTGTGTGTGTGTGTGTGTAAGTGTGTGTAAAGTATGGATAACAAAAAATGAATATCAGTTAACTTCACCATAAGAACAAATTTCCTAGACATAAACTGGGATTGGAGAAGGTATTTTGCTGTGGCTGTGGCTTAGTATGTTTAAACCACTAATGGTGTTCGGATCCCCATTTGAAACTGAAGTTAGGGAGGTAATTCATTCACCATTGAAACTAAAGTTAGGGAGATAGTTCATTAAGTATTTATAACCTGTTTCATGTAGAACACAGCCTTAGATATCAGGGATCTAATGATAGACCAGATACTTAGAGACCTGACTTTCAAAAAGGCTTACAGTCCAACTGGAAAATCAGATAAATATGCATACAATTTAAAATATCTCCAAGCACATCCTCCAGCAACTGTTGAGGTTCCCACACTTTGAGGGATATGTAGATTTAAAGACAAGTTCTGGCAGCTAGGAATTTTTGAGAATTCATGCTACTTCTATAATAGCAGAACCATGTCTGAACCAGTCGGTTCTTCTGACTCTTGCAGCATGATTTGGCCATTCTGCAGGAGTGACCAGCCTCTGCCTGGAAAGAGCCAAGAGGGCCAGAGGCACTACTTATCCTGTTTTCCACTCTCTCTTGATATTGTCTTTTCATCACACAGTTCAAAACCCAGAGCACAGGCTCTAGGAAGGTCCACTTGCATTGGTAATATCAATGGGACAGAGAGGATGGATGGCTAAGGGAAAAGAAAAGGTTTCCTTGTGGAATAATGTATTCAGTGAATAATATAAATAATATATAGCTTACACCAAGGCTATGTAGAAGTTAGAGACACCTAAAAATATGTTAGTGATTTGGGTTTTTTTTTATAAGCTAAGGTCAAGAGGTTATGTAATTTGCCCAAGATCATACATTACAGAAAAGATAAAGATGAACAAAAATAAGTTGGTTTCTGCTCTGATTGTTATTTTCTAGGGGGTGGGGGGATTCCATATTGCTTATTCAAAAAATATTTATTGAGCACCTACTAGGTGCCAGTGTTCTAAAGATAGTCCCTTAACCTTAGAGCTTAGAGATGAGTGGATAAGGTAGATATTAAACAGAGACGGATATGTAGTAATTAAAATTTTGATATGTCTGTTGAAGGAGAAGAACTGGATTGTAAGGGAGAAAAACAGAAGTCACATTTGTTTAGCTTGGAGGTCCAATAAAGAAGCACCATGTGAACTACCACAAATCACCTTAAAAGTATAGTTGTAGAAGTTTGGGGGAAATTTTACTTTCTAATCTTTCTATTGTTTCTTTCTGTTTAAGGATATCAATTTAGACTCAATAATAGTTGATCATCAGGATGATTCCTTTAGAGCAGAAACAATTATTAAGGATTGTTTATATCTTATACATATTGGTGAGTACTTTATCATTATTAACGGAAAGAGCTCTGGTTTTCTTTAAATATGGCAATAATTTGGTCTACAGTCTAGGTAACTGTAATATTTTATCTGCTGTTACCATTTTGGTTAGTCATTTTTGATCAGTTTTTTTCCTGTAATTTCTTTACACTAATAAAAGTACTAGCAGTGGCGGTGTGACCTCACCTTTCCAAGTTTAAGCAATTATATGCAATCAAAATCAATAATATAAAATATTTGTTGGCCCAGCTTTGTAAAATCTCTCATACTTGACACCTATAAGAAGTCTTCCAAGACTCAATGGTCACATGTCCTACAGACTGTCCTTCGCTAGATGGCCCGTTCCACTGGCCTGTTCCTTACCAGCTCTGCCACAGGAAGTCAGTGGCTGCAGCAAAGCAGCCTGGACTACAAATTTGTATTGTATCTTCCAGCTGTCCATCCCTTCATGGCTAAAGACCAACTTTGTATTTTTTTTATCAGGACAGAGAAAAAAGTGGTAGAAACCAGGGAACCCTACACTAACACACATATTTTAAAAAACTAAAAATTCCACAGTTAAAAATATGAAACTCTCGGGTGCTAGTATTGCATTGAAAGGACTGAAATAATGCAAAATTGTAAATTCCAGATAACCATATGAACACAGTGAAATGCATAGCAGACATTTGTAAGCATATTTCTTGCATCTCCCCCTTCTGGAGTATAAGTTCCATAGGGACAGAAATTCTTCTGTCTTATTAACTGTTGTGTCCATAATACCTAGAAAATACCTGTCACATGTAGATGCTCAATAAGATTTTTTTCAATAATTGAATGGATAATCAACTTTGGAGAACAATAAGAAAAGGTAAGCTAGACCCAGACCTGGCCTGTGTACACACACACACACACACACACGCACTCTGGGGCTTGCGTGCTTTAGGTGCTGCCTCTCCCTAGCCTGCTCCTCTCTTGGTTTGTAGGATTCCCAGTCTGGAACCATCCATGCTTGGACTAGTGTGGGTTACCCACTTATGGGCAATTGAGTATTTGCTGTTTAGTTAAAAGGGAGAAAATTGAAACAGTTGAAAATATATATATTTAAATAATTTGAATCTTCATTTTGATTGTGTACAATTTCTTTGTTTGGGTCTCTCAGAACATGTTTTATTTGTCTTGAGGGATTTGAAATAATTCATAAAAGAGCCACTTAAATGACATATGGTGTTCAAAAACTGTATGAATTGAAGTTCTATTTTAACTAAATAAATTTGTCTGTCCTAGGGCTAAGCCATGAGGTTCAGGAAGATTTTTCTGGTAAGCTACCAAAAGCCAAAAATTATGTATGTATGTACATATACACATACCTACAGAGAGAGAGAGAGATAAGAAAAATTGAAAAATTAGCATGTGTTTCATTTTTCATATGTGTATTTTCATGTTGCAAAACAAAGATACGATGTTTTCTCTTTTTTTTAAAACTTTTAAGTTCTGGGATACATGTGCAGGATGTGCAAGTTACATAGGTAAATGTGTGTCATGGGGGTTTGTTGTACAGATACAAATACATTAATTTCTAAATATACCCCTCCCTCTGGTTTCAGGTTTTTTCCTATTTTTTCTTCCCGCTTGTTCCTTCTTTGTGTGCAAGACAGGGTCTCACTTTGTCACCCAGGTTGGACAGCAGCAGCGCGATCTTGGCTCACTGCAACCTCTGCCTCCCAGGCTCAAGTGATCCTCCCACCTCAGCCTCCTGAGTAGTTGAGATCACAGTGCACACACACCACCACAACTGGCTAATTTTTTTTGTAGAGATGGGGTTTCACCATGTTGCCCTGGCTGAACCCCCTTATTCTTTTTATCTCTTTAACCTTTCTTTTTTTTCCTCCTTAAAAAAAACCACACACACACACATTCTGTCTCCTTTTTATTCTTCTTTCCTCATATCTGCCCTACTCCTGACATGCAGCTTGTGGAAATATACTATATGGCCAAGGATCGTGAGGTCAGGAGATCGAGACCATCCTGGCTAACATGGTGAAACCCTGTCTCTACTAAAAATACAAAAAGTTAGCCGGGCGTGGTGGTGGGCGCCTGTGGCCCCAGCTCCTTGGGAGGCCAAGGCAGGAGAATGGCGTGAACCCAGGAGGCAGAGCTTGCAGTAAGCCGAGATTGTGCCACTGCACTCCAGCCTGGGCGAGAGTGAGACTCCATCTCAAAAAAAAAAAAAAAGAAAAAAGAAATATACTGTGTTAGCAAAATTTTTCTTTCATCTATATATTTAAATGTTCAATAAAGAGCATACTAAATTATGAATGTTGCTGCATATAAACATGCAGCGTAGGTTTTACACAGCTATTTAATAATAGAAGACTCATCATAGAATGGTATTTTCTTGTTTTCAAGTACTGTTTTGGTACCTTATGCTGGTCCAATGTTTCCTCTTTTCCATATATCATTATAGGCTCTGCAAATTATATAAATCAGGCTCTTTAAAGACAAAGACCATGTTTTTATTTTGATTAAACTTCAAGTCAGTGCTCATCAAATTGAATTCATTTGATCCATCTGTCTTTAAAAGTTGTTAAATTGTTACTGGATTTTGTGTTCACAGTGGGGGAGAGCAGAACATTGTTTCTGAAGAAAAATTAAATATGCTTTAAATCTTTAAAAGCATGTTCAATTCATAAAATTTAAATCAGCATATGAAAGTATATATTTTATTATTATACCCATATATTATAAACATTTTAATTATTCAGTAAAAAGGTAATCTAAAATATTTTTATCAAAGATTCACATGCACTTTATCAATTTACTCTGTATTTACTAGGACCTCATTCTCATGAGGCTCTTCTTGTGTTTATTAGACTCGGTATTAGTCTACTGAATTTACTCATAAGAATCCTTCAGATTCTGACTAAGGAATGTTAAAAAGCAAATTAAATTTGCTTTTGTGGGGGCATTCGATACTAATTTGTACATCTCAGCCTTCTTTTTTTTTTTTTAAACTTTATGTCAGTTAGTTGCCATGGCTATGTTTGAGCTTGTATGAAAACCAGCAACACATAGTAGTTTGACCCTTAATAAATTAGTTTGAAAGAAGTTAATCTGAATCTATTAATAAAGTAAATTAAAGCATATAAAGCATAAACAATTATGATTGTGATTGAATACGTAAACAGAATCTTATTTATCCCACTAATAATCAGTACCATTCATATTGGATCAGGACATTTGTACTATTTGAGAAATACTGGTTTTAAAATAAAATCTTGTATTTAGTATCGATGAATACAAATGGAATTTATCTTCTTTTCAGTGCGGGTTGTTGAGAGTGTGGGAAAAATAGAGATTGTTCTTAAAAAAAAAGAGAATACTTCTTGGGACTTTCTTGGCCATCCCCTGGAGAATCATAATTCACTTATTCCAAGGAAAGATACAGGTATGCTGTGTTCTTTTGTTATGTTAATTTCACATTCATGAAATTGTTGTACAGATGTACCAGAGGTTGGAAGGCTGCTTTGAAATGAGCTGAAGGACCCTTGTATCTATCTCTAGGAAGTTTGAAAGGGACATTGTGTCTGTTGTCCTGCTTTTTTTTCCCATAGAAGTAAATTTCAGACTCTACTATCTAATGTGTAGCCGTAGTGAAGTCATTACATAATGATACCTGAATGGAGAAGCCCACTTGTGCTTAGACTGTTGATCAACCATTTACTCTTTCAAGTCCCCTTTTGTGAAGATACAAAAACAAGTTTAAGTTTATGCTTTGTATGTCTGCTTGATATTTTTCCTATTGAGGAAGATATGTTTACTATTTTTCTTCTTAATTAAACTAGTTTCTCAGTTTACTTCTTGTATTAGTCTCTTTTCCCATTGCTTTAAAGAAATGCCTGAGACTGGATAATTTATAAAGAAAAGAGGTTAATTGGCTCACGGTTCTACAGGCTGTACGGGAAGCATGGTGCTGGCATTTGCTTGGTTTCTGGGCAGGACTCAGGAAACTTACAATCATAGCAGAAGGTGAAGGGAAAACAGGCACATCTTACATGGCTGGAGAAGGAAGAGGAGAGAGATGGGGGAGGTGCTACACAGTTTTAAACACCAGATCTTGTGTGAACTCTGTCATGAGAACACCACCAAGAGGGTGTTCCTAAACCATTCATGAAGGATCCGCCCCCATGCTCCAGTCACCTCCAACTAGGCCCTGCCTCCAACACTGGGGATTACAATTCAACCAAAGATTTGGATGGGGACACAGATCCAAACCATGTCTTTTCTAAAAGATAGTACCATTCATTTCTTTTCATTTTTAAAAAGCTTTTTATCTAAGTTTAACATATATATAGAAAAGGGTGCATATTAGAAGTGCTCTACTTGATGATATTTTGCAAAATGAACATATCCTATATTTTCTCTTTGGAAATTGGTAGTATTTACTCCTTGTTCTAAGTGTTTTGGACTTTCACAATGATGTGCCAGAACATGGATGATTCTTTATCCTTCTTACTGGGCATACATTTTTTGTGCTAATCTTTTCAATATAGAAACGTATGACCTTCAGTTCTTGGAAACTATTATTGGTTTTACTTCTCCCCGTGGTCTGTTTTACTTTCTACATATTGAACTTCCTTAACTAGTCTTCTAATTACCTTATCTTTTCTCTCTTATTTTCAGTTTTGTCCTTTTGTTCTACTTTCTGGGAGATGTCTTCAGCTATGTCTTCTGGCTCTTCTATTGAGTTACTCATTTCTACTCATATTTTTAACTTCTGCAACTCCTTTGATTTCTTTTCCTTTGTTTTAGCATCCTATTCTTATTAGCTTATCTTTTAAAGAATGACTGGTAATGTTTTCTTCTCACTGTATAACTTCTGTGTCGCTCAGGTTCGTTGTTTTTTGTTTGTTATAGTGTCTTTAATATTAAATGCTTTCTTTGAATGTTTCCTAATCTTTTACTATCTGCTCATATTTCAGGGTAGGACTGTAAAACTAATTGGAAACTGTGCATGTGGGTGTGGCTTGCCAACGGTTATATTCACTATATGGCTGGAACATTTCTTTGGGAAAAGTCCAAAGCCAAGAGTCCCTAGAGTGAACAATCTCCTACCTTGTACCCAGCATTTCAGAAGCCATGTGGGGAAGAAGGCTGGGCCTAGCTTCTGGTATATCTGTAAGCGTCACTTAATTTTCTTTTCTTTCTTTTTTTTTTTTTTCTTAGAATATGATATTAGTTTGCTAGGACTGCAGTAACAAACTACTACAGACTAAGTGTCTATGGCAGAGTTAGTCTCTTCTGAGACTTCTTCCCTTAGTTTGTAGATGGCCTCCTTTTTTCCTGTTTCTTTAAATGGTCTTCCTTCTGTGTGTCTGTGTCCTAATGTCCTCTCTTTATAAAAATACCAGTCACAATGAATTAGAACCAGCTTAATTACCTTTTAAGTGAAGACCCCGTTTCCAAATATCGTCACATTCTGAGGTATTGGGGGTTATGATTTCAACATATGTATTTGACGAGGGGACACAATTCAGTCTATAGCATAGACCCAATCCAGAGACCCCTTGTTTACCCTCTAGAGCGCAAACTTCTTATATTTTGCTGATATGGGGAAGTGTCAGTCATGTGGCTGTGCTAAGTAGGGAGGACTTCAAGGGGATGGGAAGACCTATCCAAGCTTCTTAAATGAACTTGTATTGAGAAAGTAATTTTAATTCTTGACTGTGATGCCAGAGATACTTAGTCCTGCCAGTTTCTGAGCCTTAAAGGAATTTTGTATTATAAGTATGTTGGTTCTTGGCTTTCTACACTTCTGGCTTAGCATTCAGCTATCTTCAGTCTGTTGAGTCGTTTACCAGTCTTCTCTCTGCCTTGTCAGCTCCTGAAGTTTGTTGCCTTTGTCTCTGATTTCCATTCTTTCTGTCTGTGTGGGCTTATGCCTTAAAAATCAAACACACATGCAAAAACCCTTTTTGTTGTTGTTTTAGGGGATTCAGAAGGAACTAACTGCATGTATTCAGTTTATCTTCTTTAAATATATAAAATTATCATATATAATTTATTGCATGAGATAGGAAAAAACAAACTTTTTCCTAGTCTTACTTCTCAACTCAGAACACTACAATGTGAAATTTCTTCTCACCAACAACCAATTCTACAGCAACTCCAACTGTCTGTCCTACAATTTAACTCAAGTCTGATACATCCTGGAGTTTAGGGCAGACCCCACAAGTTAAGGACTTAGTCCCACAAGACTGCCCCCTACTTCACATGCCAGTTGCAAATTCCAGGTTGTGACCTATGCTTCTGACCAGCCACCTATAAATCAGTGTTGTCACAACCTCCTTCTTGGGTTCAAAAATTTGCTAGCATGGCTCACAAAACTCAGGGAAACATGTAAGTTTATTATTTTACTATAAAGGATATTACAAAGGATACAAGTAAATAACTGGATGGAAGAAATGCGTAGGGCAAATATGTGAAAAGGGGCACAGAGCTTCCATGACCTCAGTGATTGCATCATTCTCCAAACATTTTCATGTGTTCAGCTTTCCACAAGCTTTTTCAAACCATGTCATTTTGGGTTTTTATGGGGGCTTTATTATGTAGGTGTGATTGACTACGTCATTGACCATTGGTGAGCAGCTTAACCGTCAGCCTGTCCTGTCCTCAGAGGTCTAGGAAGGGGGCTGCAGGTTCCAATCCTTTAATCACATGGTTGGTTTCCCAGGCAGACAGGTCCCATCTTGAGGCTATCCGGGAGCCTACCAGGAGTCTCCCCATTAGAACAAAAGATGCTCCTATCACCCAGGAAATTGCAGGGATTTAGGAATTCTGTTAAGACACTTATAGTACTTAGGAAATTACAAAAAGTTTTAGGAGCTTAGTGTCAGGAACCAGGGTTAAAGACCAAATATTAGAACAGAAGATTCTTTTAGTGTCTCTGTTTACAAGGATTTTAGGAGTTGTGTGTCAGGAACCAGGGACACAGACCAGTATTCCTTTTTAATTCACACTTATGAAAATATATTTGTAGCTAATTTTCAGAAAAGCGTGAGGCAGCCTTATTTTGAGTACATCTTGTGTGTAGAAGACTGTTTTAGGCACTGTGGAATGAAACAAAGAGTATGGGAAATTTAGTTTCCCGCGTGAAAGATAGAAAATAAGCAAACATGAAATTGAAGAACACTTTTATAAGGAAATAGGCTGACAAGGATAAGTTATACAGTACAAACTAAACATGTTTTGTGGTAGCCCCAAGTGAATAGACACAGATGAATTTGGCCTTGAATGACTGCCTCAAGGAAGTGAATTTGAAGCAGTATTTTCAAAGTGAGGTCCGTGGCTTTCAGAAAAAAACAAAAAACTATTTTGGACTTTCCAGGTAGAGCTACAGGTCATTACTGGTTGCATATTAGGCCAGGCATTTTGTTGAATGTAGAGAGAGAAAAATGTAAGTGGCATGTAGGAAAGTTCTAATGGGTTAATTTTACCAGAGCAAGAGGTCTGAATTTTTTGGTGTTAGGTAAGGAGAGAGGACATAGAGAAATGATAGTGTGATATAGCAGATCAGAAAAGAATAGAAAAGGGACAATGGAAATGAAAAGGTATTTTTAGGGTGAAATCTCTTTCCCTGAAATTATCTTTCTTATCTAGTGATTGAAAAATCATAGCAAACCAGGTAAAAGCCAAGTCCAAGAAATAAATGATACTGAGAACCTGGGCTGACCTCTATTTGAAATAACTAGTTAGAACAACCATCATTCGGATATTCTCAGTAATTTCTGGAGGATTTCCATTAATTCTTTTATTTCTGCTGTAAATTTTTTCTTGAATCCTGAACCACCATAAAAAAAGAAAGGTTTAGCTTTCTTGGTTGAAATTGGAGCTGTAATGTGTTTTTCAGTGAAGGTTTTCCACTTTGGAAAATGACTTGGAGTTTAGGAGATATTTTTGTTTCACTGCATTAACAAAGATAATTTCATCTTTCTCCTTTCTTCTCCTTAAATCATGACAAAAACTGTAGGTTATTTTATTCACTAGCAAAGCCGAATGATTACATCAGCAAAATATTATAATTAACTTGCTTTGAGTAGCCTTAAAGATTTACAGCCAATTATGTGGTTCCTAGATTTTCAATATGTATTGCTGTAATTATTGACTTTATGACAATAGTATGCTGGCTGTGTCTTACTACTTTCTTAGCTAAAAGAATTTGAAAACAAGCATATAAGTTGAAAAACTTTTAATATAATGTTTTCTCATGTCAAATCTAGAAGATCCTTACATGAAGGATTCATATATCAGAAAGAACATCAACCAGAGAAGAGAAACTTTCATTTTTACCTTCAATCCAGATGTAGTAGGTCAATATTTTAAATTGTATGAATTGAACCCATATAATTTATAAGTGTGATGCTTCCAATTAATTTTTTTCTTCCCGGAAATGAAGATTATGAGTGAGTAGCTGTGGGGGTTATGTGGGAGAAAGAGGCAGGGGGAGAGAAAGCAATAGAGAAAGAGATGGCTGAGGAACTTCTCTAATAAGGGTCAGAAATCAATAGATAATTGAATTGCTATTTCTATACACAAGCTAACATTAGCATTTTTATCTTAATTGATAGTTGTCTTTAATGTGGAGTCTTGGATCACCAAACAAAGGTAATTTTAAAGATTTGCCAACAAATAACCCAGTCAATTGTCTTAGGAAACAAGATTAAAAAAAAAAAGAAAGGTCTCACAATTTTGATATGTGAACAGCCACTTACAGGCATATGTTGGAGATGTTGTGGGTTGGATTCCAGACCATCGCAATGGAGTATCACAATAAAGCAAGTCACACCATTTTTTTGGTTTCCCAGTGCATGTAAAAGTTATATTTACATTATACTTTAGTCTGTTAGGTATGCAATAGCATTATGTCTAAACAACAACTTACACATCTTAATTTAAAAAACAATATATTGCTAAAAAATGCTAACAATCATCTGAGTCTTCAGTGAATCATAATCTTTTTGCTGGTGGAGAGTCTTGCCTCGATGCTAATGATTGGTGACTTATCAGGGTGGTGGTTGCTGAAGGTTGGGGTAGCTGTGGTAATTTCTTAAGAAAAAATGAAGTTTGCCCACATCGATTACCCTTTCTTTCACAAAAGATTCTCTGATAACATTTTATTCACAATAAAACTGCTTTCAAAATTGGAGTCAGTCCTCTCAAACTCTGTTGCTGTTTTATCAATTAAGTTTATGTATCATTCTAAATTATCTGTTGTCATTTCAACAACATTTCACAGCATCTTTACCAGGAGTAGATTCCATCTCAATAACCCACATTTTTTGCTCATCCCTAGGAAGCAATTCCTCATCTGTTCCAAGTCTTATCATGAGATTGCAGCAATTCAGTCACATCTTCAGGCTCCACTTCTAATTCTAGTTCTCTTGCTGTATTTCCACCACATCTGCAGTTACTTCCTCCACTGAAGTCTTGAACCCTTCAAAGCCATCCGTGGGAATTGGAATCACCTTTCAAATTCCTGTTAATGTTGCTATTTTGACTGCCTCCCATAAATCTCAAATGTTCTTAATGGCATCTAGAATGGTGAAACTTCTATATTTGAAGCCCACTGTTGAGACTTACTATGTGGAACAAAAAAGATTCCTTTCGAATTGTTGTCATTCATTGACAATGCACCTAGTCACCCAAGAACTCTGGTGGAGATGTATGTCATGAAGATAGCTTCTCTCTTTAAACCTCATAAACCAACTTCTTCTAGCTTCCGACTTTGCTTCTATAGCTTCCTCACCTCTCTCAGCCCTCCTAGAATTGAAGAGAGTTAGGACCTTGCTGTGGATCAGGTTTTTGGCTTAAGGGAGTGTTCTGGCTGGTTTCATCTGTCCAGACCACTCAAACTTTCTACAAATCAGCAATAAGGCTATTTTGCTTTCTTATCGTATCATTCATGTGCTCACTGAAGTAGGACTTTAAATTTCCTTCGAGAGCTTTTCCATTGCATCCACAACTTGTCTATAGTGATTGGCTACTAATAATTACTAATCATGTTCTCAAACTTTTTAAACAAGGCCTACTGAGTTGGGACAAGAAACCCTAATAGCTTCTTACTCCATCCCACATCTTTTCTAGATGCCCTGAGATGTTGGACAGGCTTTTTAACTTCTATAAGCTTCTGTTTCCAGCAGGGAAAGTAAGAGTAACTAAGTGCTTCAAAAGTGCAAGAAGGAGAAGCCAGTTGAAGGCAGTGTGGACTCCTAGTGCAGTCTTCTCTTTCTCTTCTGTCTCCCATTGAAGACTTTACCTGTGTTTTCTGTTTTGGCCTTGTGAAATTCTATTTTTTAAAAGGGAAAATACAGTTTCTTTTTAACATTAAGAAAAAAGTATGCTCAAATAGTCTTATTATCCTCGGTATTTCAGCCTTACCCTGAGTATCTCAATATTAATTGTATGTATTTAATTCACATAAGTTAGGTATTTGGGGCAGTAATGTTTTTGTCTTGTTTTTGTTTTACTGTCTTTATTTTCAGTTTCTCATTTTTTAGTATAATTACCTGTGCTTAGAAAGCCAAAAAGCCGACAGTTAAATAATGGCATTGTGCAGACTGAAGTAGTTAGTGCCATCTGCTTTATACTTTTTTCTTATCTTATATACTGCAGTTCCCATCTGTCTGTGCTATCTTTCTCCTTGATGCAATTGAAAGATGAAAACTTTCTTAAAATTCTTAGAACCTATAGTTAGGATGTTCTTTTGAAATTATAGTCAGCCTTTTGTGGGTAAAACATTGAAATTATCGCAGTAGTGTTAAATAACAAGAATGCTGTGTCAATTCTCTAACAAGGAAAGTCAGTAAATCACTGTAACCCAGTATTTCCTTGTGTTTTAAATATCATTGGAGAGTTGCATAGTTACTATAGCAAACTTTTCTAGCAAATGCTAGAGTAGAAATTGTCAATCCAGAAGGTGAGCATTTTCATCTAGCTGTAAAGTTATCAAAATGATATGCACTAGATTTTATTAGAAGAAAACAACACTGTGGTCCTTAGACCTGCGCAAGAAGGGCACCTGCCCTGGGTTCCACACTTGGAGAGCCCCACATGACTATCTCCAGCCACAGCCATACCCCTCCCACAAGGTAAGGAGTATTACAAGACCACGAAGTATCCACCTGGAGCTCATCCTCTTTCTTTCAACTTCACCGTCTAGGTATCTAGAACCATGGAATTCCCTGCCCAAACGACCCCAAATCTACTTCTATCCAAGGAGTGGCCAGGGCTGTTTATGTGAAAAGCTAGTGCATGAGCTTGAGCCTGTGGGTTAATGTATCCATACCCATTTAAGCCCCTACTCAGTCAGACAGCCGAGGATGAAAAGACAATGGGGGCAGGCAGTGGGAGTGCAGGTCTCATTCCTCTGCCATCTCACTGATATTCTGAGGAGTTTAAGAATCCCAAATTTGAACCTAGCCTTCTAGGACCTTGTGAAGCTGTATATTTCAAGATATAGCATAGAACATACTTTGACAGTTACTTGTCTGATTTATAACTGTTAAATATTTATATGTATATAGTATGTGGGTCTCTAGTTGTATTCTTACTGTGGGTTCCAGAAAGGGTCTGGAAAAACAAATAAAGAGATCATTTGCACCTTCATTTCTCTTTGTGCATGGGCCTATGTCCTTTGACCCTTTGGTTAGGCCAGTGCTTGTTAGGCCTTCCAGGATAACTTTAGGGTGGACTATTAGCCGTAATCTGGTCCAAACTTGTGCCCTGGCACTAGAGTGAGGTGACCTCTAGTGATACTCCAGGGTCTTTGCATAAAGTGATGTAGTCTAAGCTTATATACTTACTGCTACCATGATGGCAGGTGGAAAATTGAGTGACTGATCTGTGGGGAGCAAAAGAGAGAAGGGAAGTTGGATTCACTTGTGACTAAAATGATTTCTTAGGATTATATGTGAATTTCAGTTTTCCACTAAGTGTTGATTATTAGCTGTTGGCTCTTCACTTTCTAAGATCTGGAGAAAATATTTCTGCACCTACTTGAATATTTTTGAGTTAAAAAAAGAGAATAACTAGAATAAGAAATATATTATCAGGGTTTATTCCTTTACATCTCTGTAAATACTATTTTGAGAGAGGAAATAAAAAGTTAGTATCTTCACATTATTCTGATATGCTATTTATGTTCAAAGAGAATTTACAAGTGAAAATCTTAATTATTTCAGAACTTCTATAATAAATTCTTCTAATTCAAATGGTATTATTTGCTCTATATACAAACAATATTTTCTGAGCTTGGGATATTAATTTCAAATTTCTCTAGTATTTATAAAAATATTTGATTCTTTTTATCTATTTGTATATTAGTACCATAATCCTAATCCTACCATCTTCAGCTTTTCACTTGTATTAATTTTCCAGATACCAAAACCTACACCTTTAAGCATAAAAATTTTTATTTTAATCATTTTGTGACAGTTAAAATGTTCTCTAATCATATATATAAAATACATACACACAAACATAGAGACACAAGAATGTATATCTTCTTGCCTTTGTCAAAGAGATACTCTAAAATTGCTTAATAGTGCTACTGTTGTTAAGCCTTAAAGGCTTGAGCTTCAGGACTTTTCCATTGTGTAAGAAAAGATTTTAGAATGTACGGTGGCTCATGCCTGTAATCACAACACTTTGGGAAGCCAGGGTGGGTGGATTGCTTGAGTCCAGAAGTTTGACACTAGCCTGGGCAACATAGTGAAACCTCATCTCTTAAAAAAAAAAAATTTTTCAAAGACTTTACAATGTAAACTTATTCATTATCAAATAAAATTAGGGTTTTTTTTTTTTTTTTTAGAACATAATGGCTTAACATGCTATAATAACAGATGTGAGGAAATAACACTCATTAAGTTCATCTTTCAAGTTAGAGAAGTATTTACAGGTCTTGGTCAACAGATATCTCAGGAAATAAAATGGAAAAATTAACCTTAAAATATTGATTAATTTTTTAAATGTATAGGCATTTTAGTGAAGTTGAAGCTTTCTAGAAAACAGAAGCTGAGTGTGTGCTTTCTCTTAGTGGTTTAGTATTACTTCTTATTAACTTATGTATCAATAAGAGAAAATGAATCACTTTTTAGGTTTGTACTACAGAAAGTGCCAGTTAATTTCCAAGGAAAATGTTACTCATGATACGAGGCTTTTCTGTTTGATGCTGCCACCAAGCACTCATCTTCAAGTGCCCATTGGGCAACATGTTTACCTCAAGCTACCTATTACAGGTAAGGTGAATAGAGGCTTTGGGACACATTTTCTTCTTTTATAAGCAGTTCAAAATCAGTACTATTCTTTCTAGAAAACAACCATTTAAGTTATTAATAAATGTTTCCAAGCAGCTAGATTTAGTGATAGTCAGAATCTAGGTTTGTGACTGCAACATGTTCTACGTGGTGGAACTATAGCTGGACCATATTATCATGTGGAACAAAGATATTGCCGGTAGTTTAGACAGATGATTCCACCAGCATTGTAATTTATGACTAACAGAACCCTAAAGGAAAGAGATGATAGACTGCACAAATAGTCTTCCGTGAAGACAACTACTAGAAGCTCATACTGGTGTCTCTTAGTAGCTACTTAGGGTTGTATCATTTATGAAGTTGAATCTATAAAATTTAAAATGAGTGAATGATTGGAAATGATTTTATTCTTTGTGCTACCAGTATAAGAAGCTCTATAAATGTATAAATATGAATTCTTCTTTCTTTCATTTTTATCCTAAATTTACCTCACTTGTTTTGAATACCCTTGTTATTGATGTCCAACATTTTCTTCGCCATTTGAAGCTGCAAACAGTAAAATTCTCCTGTCAGCTGTAGTGTTTCTGGCAATTGTCTAAAATGTTACCAGCTAGGTCTTAGTAGATACATTATGATGAGGCACTGTTAAGGTTTTCTGTTTTTCATCACTAATGGCTGGTTTTCTCTTTTTCATCACTAATGCCCGGTTACCTAATTCAAGAGCTGGTATCTTCTCCAGTTATTGCCAATGCATTTTAATTAATATATGTATTTTGTATACATTAAGGAGCCATGCATAAAATTTTTGGTCTTTCAAACATGTGATGATTCTTCTCTTTGGGATTTGGCTACTTAAAATAAAATGAGTTATTTATTTTACTCTTTAAGAAAATAATATATTCTTAGAAGTAGCTGAATTAACATTCTTTTTATTCAGTTACCAAAGTAATATGTAATATGTTAAAATATTAAAACAATTTAAAGTACATGAAGTAAAAAGTGAAATTTCTTCCTTTTTCTCCCCTAAATGATCCCACTGGTCATCAGTAACCATTTTTAAAAATTTGGTGTATAATTAAAATCATAAGGTAAATACTTTTTTTTAACATCTCCATGGTAAATTTTTCATGCAGTTTTTGTTGTGGCCCATTACAAAGTTTATTTGCTGATGGAATAGGTGGTTGTCTAAACTTATTACCATATATTTCTATTAAATTAGACTATACATAATAAAAACATTGTTTATATTATGGGTACAATATTGATTTGTGAAAATTGTTTCGGCACATACAGGCTTGGGGTATATATACGTATATACTATATACATATAGAAAAATCATTAGAATTATATACCCATTAGGTATATAGTTTTAAATATATACTGATGGTATCATAAAATTTGGACGTTTCATCTTCATTAAGAGGTTTTTGGATTTTTAGAGTTTAATTTTTTTGCTGTGATTTTTTTTTTCTAGGTACAGAAATAGTAAAGCCATATACACCTGTATCTGGTTCCTTACTCTCAGAGTTCAAGGAACCAGTTCTTCCCAACAATAAATACATCTATTTTTTGATAAAAATCTATCACACTGGACTCTTCACACCAGAGCTTGATCGTCTTCAGATTGGTTAGTATTGTTACATTTTTGTAACCTCATTTGTGCTCTAGATTGGATCAGATTGCCCTCTTGTTATCTCCATGTAGGAGTCTATCATATCTTGAACTCAACATGTCTACAACCAAAGTTATCTTCTCTTTGTCCCACCCAGCATGGCCTTCCTCCATATTCCCTGTTTTAATTATTTGCAGCATCACTGTTCATCCTTGATCCAATCTGGAAACTCAAATCAGCCTTGTTTCTTCCCACTTTCTCTCTCCCAGTCCAGTCAGCCACTAAATTTTGTTGAGTATACATCTCAATGGCTTTTTCAGCTACCTCTTCTGCCACTGTCTTATAGTAAGCCTTCATCATATCTTTGTTGGCTTCTAACTGTTTTCTCACAATTGACCCTAGCTGCTTTGCAGCTTTGAAACCTCTGATGGGTCCCCATTATCTATACTGCATGACCTGCATAGACATTGATAATCTCTCCAGCTTCATCTCTTGCTATACAAAAATACTTGTGCTACTCAGAGTTCCACAGATTTGTCATCCTCATTCACAGTTATATGCAGTTGCCACACCCAAGATGCCCATCAACCTTTTCTTTTTTTTTTTTTTTTTGAGACTGAGTCTTCACTCTACCGCCCAGGCTGGAGTGCAGTGGCACCATCTCGGCTCACTGCAAGCTCCGCCTCCCGGGTTCACGCCATTCTCCTGCCTCAGCCTCCCGAGTAGCTGGGACTACAGGCGCCCGCCACCGCGCCCGGCTAATTTTTTGTATTTTAGTAGAGACGGGGTTTCACCGTGTTAGCCAGGATGGTCTCGATCTCCTGACCTTGTGATCCGCCAGCCTCGGCCTCCCAAAGTGCTGGGATTACAGGCGTGAGCCACCGCGCCCGGCCCCATCAACCTTTTCTTTACCTGTCAAGTACTTTTTTAAAAAGACCCAAACATGGGCTGGGTGCGGTGGCTCATGCCTGTAATCCCAGCATTTTGGGAGGCTGAGGCAGGCAGATCACTTGAGGTCAGGAGTTTGAGACCAGCCTGGCCAACATGGGGAAACTCCGTTTCTACTAAAAATAGAAAAATTAGCCAGGTATGGTGGCGGGCATCTGTAATCCCAACTACTTGGAAGGCTGTGGCAGAAGAATCACTTAAACCCGGGAGGCAGAGGTTGCGGTGAGCCAGGATCATGCCACTGTACTCCAGCCTGGGCAACAGAGCGAGACTCCCAAAAAAATAATAATAATAAATAAAAATAAATAAAAAGACCCAAACAGAATATCACTTTATGGAGCCCTCCTCCTCCCCTGAAACCCTCAATAACAACAGTTTGTTCATAGCTCTATTATAAGAATAAATATATTCCTCAATTAGAAGACTGAGTTTAGGAGCAGAAATTGTCTTATCTTTGTATTTCCAACACCAGGCATGGCAGTTGGTACATAATAGGCTGTCAGTAAATGTACTTTGTTTTTTTGTTTGTTTGTTTTATTTTTGAGACGGTCTGTTGCCCAGGCTGGAGTGCAGTGGCTTGATCTCAGCTCACTGCAACCTCTGCCTTCTGGGTTCAGTGATTCTTCTGCCTCAGCCTCCCAAGTAGCTGGGATTACAGGCACCACCACGCTGACTAAGTAGTAGAGATGAGTTTTCACTATGTTGGCCAGGCTGGTCTTGAACTCCTAACCTTAGGTGATTGGCCCACCTTGGCCTCCCAAAGTGCTGGGATCACAGGTGTGAGCCACTGTGCACAGCCAGTAAAGGTACTTTGAAAGAACGAATAAAGAACTATAGTGAGATATATTAAGATTTAAAAACTTCCCTTGCTTCTGCTCCCTTTTGGTGTCTCTTACTCCTTTTTCTGTATTTTCTTTTCACTGCTTTTTACCTAATGGCAAAAGTGTTCCTCTTTCCAAGGCAGCATTAGCAATATTTTGGGATATCAGTGAAGTGGATTACTGAAATTTGGAAATAAACAAAATTACATTACTTTCTGAAATGTAGTAGATATGATTCTGCTAATTATATCTACTTCACATAAGAGAGATGATTAGTCATCCTTGGTTACATAAACCAAAATATTTTATATGAATTTGAACCTGAAGTATTTTGGAGTGCCTACAAATCTAGTGAAGGTGACTGTCACCTTGTGAAAGAAGGACTGACACATAATTATAATACAGTAAGTGGAAACTTAAGGAATGGTATTACAGCCTATTTATGGAGATTTTTGCAAACATAGCAGGGTGAAGAGTTGTCCTAGAGTGTGGAAAGGGAAAGCTCGAAGAACAAGATGAAGTATTATTTCAGCTTCATTTAGAGAGGCTCAACATGGCACAAATATTTGTGTCACTTAGAGAGTTGTACATTAAATGAATGAACCCATGCAATTATCCATCTCTGTTTCAATCCCATGTTCACTAAGCAGCATGATTTTACATGATTAATTTGGCTTTCCATGTGTTCTGATACTGGAAGCAAGATATCCCCAATGGGACATGTAATGTTCAGGTCACTAGATACATGTAACCCCAGCTGTGCCATTCTGGCATGTGTGCTTTAATCTCTTCTGAATTTGATTAGCATCAGTTATCTTACATGAGTCTAATCAATTTTGTTAGCATTGGAAAGACTGGGCTGTGGGTAAAAGTTACCAAGTTAATACTGTCCTCTGAGGCTTCTTTAGTAAACAACCATCTGGCTTTCCTAAGGACATTCTAATCTTACAGTGTTTTTCAAACTATAACAAGGAGCTTCTATTGGTTTTTTTTTTTTTTTTTTTTTTTTGAGACGGAGTTTTGCTCTTGTTGCCCAGGCTGGAGTACAATGGCGCGATCTCGGCTCACCGCAACCTCCGCCTCCTGGGTTCAAGCGATTCTCCTGCCTCAGCCTCCCGAGTAGATGGGATTACAGGCATGTGCCACAATGCCCAGCTAATTTTTTGTGTTTTTAGTAGAGACAGGGTTTCTCCATGTTGGTCAGGCTGGTCTTGAACTCCTGACCTCAGGTGATCCACCTGCCTTGGCCTCACAAAGTGCTGGGATTACAGGCGTGAGCCACTACGCCCAGCCCTGTTTTCAAATACTTACTTTATCAACTACTGCAAGATTCTTACTATCCTGCAATGGAAAACAAAGGAAAAATTGTGAGCATCCAAGCATTTTAAAATAGAGTATTTTAAATCATTCAAAAATTATACACAGCTTTATTTTTCATTTTTAAGATTACATTTCAAGTTTCTGAATCTAGTCCTAAAGATAATTTTCTTATATGAATGGTACATGGTGATTATATCAACTGGACTGTAGAAAATGGGCACTGATTTCTCAAATGTGTTGATGCTAGATTGGAAAGTGGCATGCTCTAAGTATAGTTGACTGCATTTCTGATCTTGCTTTGTTTTTATGGGAATTAAACTCAGAACAGCCTTTCTTAATTAATAGGTCTTTTCAAAAATTTGGTGGAAGAGAAGTTGGTATGTTTATCAACATAAGATTTTAGAATACATTTCTATTTCAATTTTCTCTCCTACTAATCCTGTTACTATGGTTAATAATCAATATGTAAATAGTGAATATCTATTCTTTACTCTGTACCATGTAAGACAGATATATGTGGACTCTGCTTTTGAGGTACTTAAAATTTAGTTTAGCAATCAATCCTTTATTGATAATTTGTGGATAAGTACTTTGCAGTAGTTTGTAAATTTCAGACTTCTGATGGTTTGGGAAAATAGTGGTGGGAAATTATACCATAAAACCTCATTATTAATTTGACTGTAATGATATAATTCAGACATACTTAGGGGCCTAATGAGTATCCTTAAGACTACTTATTTATCTTAAAGACTGATACATAGTCTGCAAGTTAAGTATTTATACTGTTACTCCTTAGTGTTTTAAATTCAGTTACTTTTGGCTTCTTAATTTCCCGGCTGGGTTTTTTGTTTTGTTTGTGTTTTTTTTCTGATTTAGTTTGTATTTTCATTGTTTAGGAGATTTTGTTTCTGTAAGCAGTCCTGAGGGCAATTTTAAAATATCCAAGTTCCAAGAATTAGAAGATCTCTTTTTGTTGGCAGCTGGAACAGGCTTCACTCCAATGGTTAAAATACTGAATTATGCTTTGACTGATATACCCAGTCTCAGGTATGTAATTTTGTCTCTAATTACTATCCTTTTTGAGGCTGTTATATTAGTATAAGGTATTCTAAGTTGATTACTCACTGGACCTTAATAGACATGTTAACATTTCCTCATTCATCATTTCTTACTCTGCCTCCTTTAATCCTAGGTATTAAGTAGGTTCTTTTATCTCATTTCAGTTTTTGATGATTTTTAATTACCTATTGGGCACTAAAACATTCACGCTGGTTCACTTTAGACTTGCCATTTGTGCATATTTTACATGTAATTAATTAGTTATTTCTGAGTTTTTGTTTTTCTTTTAAGGAAAGTGAAGCTGATGTTCTTCAATAAAACAGAGGATGATATAATTTGGAGAAGCCAATTGGAGAAATTAGCATTTAAAGATAAAAGGTATTAAACTGATATTAGCTCTGTGTTTAGTTTTTTATACCTGTGTAGTAAATCTAGGCCTTAACTTGTCTGGTTGGAGCTTTGATTGGCCAGGAAGCTCCTTCAAAGAAAAAAAATAAACCGATAATTCTCTAACTGAAAATCATGTTAAATGTTCCCCTTTCCTCAAAGAAACACTGTCTGGCAAGATCTAGGCAACCTTATATATGTGTCACTAAGATGCATGTTGGACTTTATGATCATGTTATGTGATTTGTACTGAGTTGGGTTTCACTGAAAATGTTGCAATGTAACCAGTTTGGTAATGCAAGATTTTTCTTGTTATAATGGGGCTGATAAAATAAAAATTTGATGAGAATGGATTAAGCAAAATTAAACATGGTATGGGATTTCTAAAGCTTTTTATATGTTAGTATCCTTTGTGACTTTCCAAGACAGGAATTTTTTATGCATTGTTTAGCAAAATTCCCTTTACTTTTGTTTGTTTGCATTAACGCTTCTTCGCTCTATCACTAGTGATCCTTGGTATCCACTTTGGGAAGTGCTGGTATAGACAATAGAAAAAAGTTCTAGTCAAGCTGAACTCAGTAGTGGAATGGGACAGAAAGGATAACAAAAGTAAAAACTTATTTTATTGATTAAAGAGCCCAGTAAACTAAAATAAGAAGATAATTTAAATGAATATGTGCTCCATTTCCCCTAAAAAGATTTGACAGCAGTAGGAAGTTCAGAACAATCTTTTTACAAAAAGCGAATTGAATAAGCTATCATACTTCCTAAAGCATTTCTATAATCATTAAAAGCTATTTCTAAGAATTTTAGGGCTTTATAAATTATACAGAAGATCTGAAGTAAATACATATGTGTATGATAGGATGGTATAGATAAAATTCTAGGCTTTTTGAAAGAGTAAAGCCCTTAGAACTTTGTTAGCTGTCCAGGGGCTCGAGGTTCTTCTGAATATTTTCTGAATATCCATTATAAGGAAATGCTGTGGTCTTTTCCCATTTTTCCCTGCCTGCTGTCTCCCATCATCCTCCGCTTTGTCTTTTAATAAATGGCTTTCGGACTTAAGGATGACACCTGAACTTATTTGTCCTTGAAGTATTTATTCTTTACATACTAAAAACATAAACCTAAGAATATTTACTATATTTAAGTAGTTGTGTGTCATTTTAGAGAATTATTTAAAGAAGTTCAAGTTCTTAGTTTTTCAAGTATTTTTTAACAGATTTTCAAAGTGAAAAATTGGAAGCGTTTATCAATAAGCCTAAAGACCTAAATTCCAGTTGCCATTCTGCTCCTCACCAGCATGAAATTTTATTCACAAATTATTTACCTCTAGGGGCCTCTTTAACTTCAAAAGAAAATAATGACGTCTTTCTACTTCATAAAGCTATTGTGAGCTTTGGAGAAGATAATGTAAATGCTTCGGAACCTGTGAAGCCCTCTCTCAGACATTTGAATTGTGGTTATAGAGGATCCCTATATACATGTTTGTTTTCTGTCTTCGCTGTTAGAGCTTCTGTTTTTTTAAGTAAATGTTTAAAAGAATTTAAACTGGTTGATTCCCAGGCAAGATGGCCAAAGAGGAACAGCTCTGGTCTGTAGCTCCCAGTGAGACCAACACAGTAGGCGGGTGATTTCTGCATTTCCAACTGAGGTACCTGGTTCATCTCACTGGGATTGGTTATACAGTGGGTGCAGCCCACAGAGGGTGAGCAGAAGCAGGGTGGGGTGTTGCCTCACCCGGGAAGCTCAAGTGGTTGGGGAACTCCCTCCACTAGCCAAAGGAAGCCATGAGGGACTGTGCCATGAGTAACTGTGCTCTCCAGCCCAGATACTACGCTTTTCCCATAGGCTTCGCAACCTGCAGACCAGGAGATTCCCTTGGGTGCCTATACCACCAGGGTCCTGGGTTTCAAGCACAAACTTGGGCAGCCATTTGGGCAGACACCAAGCTAGCTGCAGGAGTTTTTTTGTACCCCAGTGGCACCTGGAACCAGAGAAACAGAACCATTCACTCACCTGGAAAGGGGGCTGAAGCCAGGGAGCCAAGTGGTCTTGCTCAGTGGATCCTACCCAAACGGAGCCCAGCAAGCTAAGATCCACTGGCTTGAAATTCTCACTGCAAACATAACAGTTTGAAGTCAACGGGGAACACTCGAGCCTAGTAGGGGGAGGGACGTCCACCATTACTGATACTTGAGTAAGTGGTTTTCCACTCACAGTGTAAAAAAAGCCACTGGGAAGTTCGGACTAGGTGGAGCCCACCACAGTGCCAAAAAACCATGATAGCCAGACCGCCTCTCTAGGTTCCTCCTCTCTGTGCAGGGCATCTCTGAAAGAAAGGCAGCAGTCCCAATCAGAGGCAGAGGCTTATAGATAAAACTCCCATCTCCCTGGAACAGAGTGCCTGGGGGAAGGGGCGGCTGTGGGCACAGCTTCAGCAGACTTAAACGTTCCTGCCTGCTGGCTCTTAAGAGAGCAGTGGATCTCCCATCACAGCGCTTGAGCTCAGCTAAGTGACAGACTGCGTCCTCAAGGGGGTCCCTTACCCTTGAGGCTCCTGACGGGGAGACACCCCCCAGCAGGGGTCGACAGACACCTCATACAGGAGAGCTCTGGCTGGCATTTGGCGGGTGCCCTCTGGGATGAAGCTTCCAGAGGAAGGAACAGGCAGCAGTCTTTGCTATTCTTCAGCCTCTGCTGGTGATACCCAGGAAAACAGGGTCTAGAGTGGACCCCCGGCAAACTCCAGCAGACCTGCAGCAGAGGGGCCTGTTATAAGGTAAACTAACAAACAGAAAGCAATAGCATCAACATCAAGAAAAAAAAGGATGACCAAGCCAACACTCCATCCAGAGGTCACCAACAGCAAAGACCAAAACTAGATAAATCCACGAAGATGAGGAAAAACCTGTGCAAAAAGGCTGAAAATGCCAAAAACCAGAATGCCTCTTCTTCTCCAAAGGATCACAACTCCTTGCCAGCGAGGGAACAAAACTGGACGGATAATGAGTTTGACAAATTGACAGAAGTAGGCTTCAGAAGATGGGTAATAACAAATTCCTCTGAGCTAAAGGAGCATGTTCTAACCCAATGCAAAGAAGCTAAGAACCTTGACAAAAGGTTAGAGGAATATCTAACTACAATAAACAGTTTAGAGAAGAACATAAATGACCTGATGGAACTGAAAAACACAGCATGAGAACGTTGTGAAGCATACACAAGTATCATAGCCGAATCGAGCAAGCGGAAGAAAGGATATCAGAGATTGAAGATCAACTCAATGAAATAAAGCAAGAAGACAAGATTAGAGAAAAAATAATGAAAAGGAATGAACAAAGCCTCCAAGAAATATGGGACTACGTTTGGTGTACCTGAAAGTGACGGGGAGAATGGAACCAAGTTGGAAAACCACTTCTGGATACTATCCAAGAGAACTTCCCCAACCTAGCAACATAGGCCAACATTCAAATTCAGGAAATAAGAGAACACTACAAAGATACTCCTTGAGAAGAACAACCCCAAGACACACAATCGTCAGATTCACCAAGGTTGAAATAAAGGAAAAAATGTTAAAGGCAGCCACGGAGGAAGGTCGGGTTACCCACAAGGGAAGCCCATCAGAATAACAGGGGATCTCTCTGAAGAAACCCTGGAAGCCAGAAGAGAGTGGGGGGCCAATATTCTACATTCTTAAAGAAAAGAGTTTTTAACCCAGAATTTCATATCCAGCCAAATTAAGCTTCATAAGCAAAGGAGAAATAAAATCCTTTAAAGACAAGCAAATGCTGAGGGATTTTGTCACCACCAGGCCTGCCTTACAAGAGCCCCTGAAGGAAGCACTAAATATGGAAAAGAAAAACCGGTACCAGCCACTGCAAAAATGAAGCAGAATGTAAAGACCATCGAAACTATGAAGAAACTGCGTCAACTAATGGGCAAAATAACCAGCTAGCATCATAATGACAAGATCAAATTCACACATAACTGTATTAACCTTAAATGTAAATGAGCTAAATGCCCCAATTAAAAGGCACAGTCTGGCAAATTGGATAAAGAGTCAAGACCCATCAGTGTGCTGTGTTCAGGAGACCCATCTTACATGCAAAGACACACATAGGCTCAAAATAAAGGGATGGAGGAAGATTTACCAAGCCAATGGAAAGCAAAAAAAAAAAAAACAAACAAAAAAAGCAGGGGTTGCAATCCTAGTCTCTGATAAAACAGTCTTTAAACCAACAAAGACCAAAAAAGACAAGGGCATTACATAATGCTAAAGGGATTAATGCAACAAGAAGAGCTAACTTTCCTAAATGTATATGCACCCAATATAGGAGCACCCAGATTCAAAAAGCAAGTTCTTAAAGACTTACAAAGAGACACTTTCACACAATAATAGTGGGAGACTTTAACACTCTATGTCAATATTAGACAGATCAACGAGACAGAAAATTAATAGGGATATTCAGGACTTGAACTCAGCTCTGGACCAACTGGACCTAATAGACATCTACAGAACTCGTCACCCCATATCAACAGAATATACATTCTTCACAGCACCACATAGCACTTATTCTAAAATTGACCACATATTTGGAAGTAAAACACTCCTCAGCAAATGCAAAGGAACAGAAATCATAACAAATAGTGTCTCAGACCACAGTGCAATCAAATTAGAACTCAGGATTAAGAAGCTCACTCAAAACCACACAACTACATGGAAACTGAACAACCTGCTCCTGAATGACTACTGCGTAAATAACAAAATGAAGGCAGAAATAAATAAGTTCTTTGAAGCCAATAAAAACAAAGACACAACATGCCAGAATCTCTGGGACACATTTAAAGCAGTATGTAGAGGGAAATTTATAGCACAAAATGCCCACAGAAGAAAGCGAGAAAGATCTAAAATTGACACCCTAACATCACAATGAGAAGAACTAGAGAAGCAAGAGCAAACAAATGCAAAAGCTAGCAGAAAACAAGAAATA